CCATTCTTCCAAAATGTACAGTAGCGATTTAACTTGTCATCTTCTTGAGGTAGAGCCATTTTATAAGCAAGACGTAATGAGAGGACATGGAAATATCGAGGAGGAAAGAAATGATGTTTACTAGTACACTGTAGACACCAACCAAACTGGTACACTTGACTAGTCATCTCATCAGGTCTTTCTTTAGACAAAAGACATGGAAAGAACAACAACCTTTCTCCTCTTCTTTCTGTCCCTCCCTCCTCCTGATTTTCTACTGCTAACTGATGGAGGTTTGTCATTCTTAGGAAAGATGGATCATTCATTTGTTGACAGAGTTCCATGTTCTTGAGGAAACAGATCAACATGTCAGGATCATATTTAGGGAAGAGTCTAGTCAGACCAGACACACTAACAATACCAGTATTGCTAGCAATTTCAATGTGTTCTTTGAATGTCTCTGGAGCAAAGAGAGTCCCATCCACCTCTGTTAGTAGTATACCCTTATTCACAACAACCCATACCTTGTCTTCACTTTTGAGAACACTGATCAAACCAATTGAGTGCAATGAATCAAGAGCATCCAAGACATCTTCTCTTTTATCTGATAAATTATAATCATTATTGTCCTCAGTAGCAGACATTACATCAGAGAGGGTTAGTATATTCTTTTTCCTTTCCTCCAGTAGACCATACATCATGTGACAATAAAGACTCAAATTCCTTCCACTTGTACTACGAATGGACTCACAGGCACTAGACAACTTATTAAAGAAGGAATCCACACCACTCCCACCAAGCTTACGACAATCTAAGAAGACACTATCACACCTTTCCCTTACAATAATCTCCTGTATTTCTTCCTTTCTCCTTCTCCTTTCAACAGGATTACTTATCTCATCCACATGACTGACTATTACAATAACATGGCATTGATTAAGAGCTTTCTGTGCTTCATTTGTGATAACTGTTAGCCACTGATGAAGCTGTTTGACTGGTTCCTTTTCCAATATATTGACTACTATGAGGAACACTCCACCAGAACCTTGTAAGAGATTCTCAATGACAGCACTGTGACTTGAGTAGTATTCGGAATGACCAGCAAAATCATGAAGAATGATGTTACCCAGTGTCCTGTGTTGTAGTTTATAAGGAATGATACCAGCAGTACAGGGCACTATCCCTCCAACATTTCTAACGGAACCAAGAACAATAGAACCAGTAGCTGTGTCATTGATGACATGACTAAGAGTACTTTTACCAGCTCCAGAATTACCCACAAGGAGGATGTTAACATAAGAATCAATTGGATTGGATGATTTTATATCACTAAACTTCTTGAAGATAGGAAGAGTATTATAAGCCCAGTCTTTTCTCTCTGTCATTTTAGCTAGTTGTAATGGCGTTGTCCCCTCATTGTCTTTAGCCAATGGATCGCATTTACCAGTTGATAGTAAGCATTCAACAAATGTATAATAATCCCAACGAACAGCATAGTGAAGAGGTGTCTTCCCCTCCTTGTCTACAGTCATTGGATCAAAGCTACACTCATTGATTAGATATTTGATTACATCAGGTGAGTTGTTCCAAATGGCTGCTTTATGAAGAACAGTCTCACCCCTATTGTTAGTAGTCATTGGATCACAGTGACACTCATCAATGAGATATCTCATCACATCAACATGATTACCTCGTGCAGCCCAATGAAGACAAGTCTCACCTCCACTATCTTTTTCATGTGGGTCACAGTGATATTTAGTGATGAGATCTTTTGCAACATCTAACCAGCCATAATATAAAGACAAATGAAGTAAACTAGTGTGATTCCATCCTATAAATCTTCCTTTAATTTTATTTGGTTCCTTCACTAATGGTAGTAAGCGAACACCTTCTTTATGGTCTCTGTTCCTAAAAGCAGCCCAACACTTGTCTTTTAACGACATTTTGTGATCAGTTGATTAGATTCATTGTTACCATATTAGGAATAGGAACTTATTATTCATAAACTATACACACACACACCCCATGATCATTATCATTAACTAAGGTGAAAGGGAGAGGATAATATGCACACCTACAGCCTCAGCAATCTGCTTAATATTTAAAGAAATACTAAGGAGAATGCAATGCATTAAAGGGGCGAGCCTAAGCAAGGCATAGATTATCTATGTGCTGTTTGATACATGAGCATGCAAGCAAAGCAATTGTATATGTCGAAGGCGAATACAGTAGATCTAGTGACTTCAACACTTAAGAATCTCTTCAGCAATTAAACTTATCTTGCTGATAGCATTGAAGATGCTTAGAAGCAGTCACTGCACAAATCATATTTGAAGATCTGCTTTGTTAACCTAGGCTTGCAGTTGCAGCTAGAGAAGAAACATCACCTATAGAATAGATCTCACCATGTAGCTAGCTACAGTACATGTAGCTTTCTCACTTGCATTCAACATCAGCTATTTAGTCTTCAAAAAAAACTTATTGGAGTCCTTTATATCCAGGAAAAGACTGTATATCTGCTTTCCCAATCTTTATTTCTGCTAGAGAAGTTTTAGACATCAGTTTAGTCTTATCTTGCTGACCGTTTGCTGCAAATAAACTCAGACTTCCTGATAACCGTGATTTTATTTCATTGTGACCACACCTGCTTTCAATGAAGATTAGGCTATTTAACTTTAATAATAGTTAGACGGTAAACAAACAAACTTTCTCTCGCCTTAGTGGGGCAAGCTCAGGCTCACCCCGATAATATGGTTTAAAACTTAAACTTTATGTTAAATTGTCAATTGTGTATCATTCATTGTGTTATTATTGACATGGAATTAATTGTTTATTTTCAAAACAAGCACAAATGTGAGGCCGCATTTGTTTTTGATCGTAGCTCCTTGATGAAAGTTTCTTTATTTTGATATGCTAAATGTAGTTGCAAATGCCAATGCGAATAATCCACAGTCATATCCATTTGTTTGTTTCTGTGGCTGCTTGATAGTAAATGTTTTCTTTAAAAACAAACGAGAAAGCATTTCATATGTGTGCTGATCAATAGCTTTGTATAATGAGTCGTAAACGGTGATTTCACTTTCTTCACATCCAATATTTGATGCTGTAATCCAATGATTATCTTTGCAATGAATCACCTGTATTATTAAACTATCACTGATTTCAAATTTGTAACTAGGTTTGGTTATTTCCAATGTTGACTTCAAGCCATTTATCTCTGGAAATTTTCTCCGTAATAGGATTTGGCCAAAATATATATGTTTATTATTCAAGTAGCCACCACTTAAAATACTAGCTATAGAACGGTCGTCAAGTAGCAAACGAATTGCATCATATTCAATCCATAGAGTAATTTCATTACCACTGTCATCTACCTCTGTTTGGACCATGTCTGCATCAATATACTGTAGGGCACCTTTTTTCAAGGGCTGTAAATTTCGTGGATTTTGCGATTTTCTTTAAAATTTGTGAAACTTACTTCCGTGAAAAATAAATTAATATGGTACAAGATGGCAGACGGCATAAATTCGCGAAAATCAAATCCACAAAATAAAAATCCATGAAACTTATAGCCCTCAAAAAAAGGTGCCCTACGGTAATCCTC